ACATGCAAGTCAAATGTGTGCAAGATAATGACAACACCAACAATAAGGAATCTAAATCATCAGTAGTAATTCCATACAAAGAAGGAATTCTTAACAAGGCAGGAATAAAAGTGGCTGGTATTCAAACCCACAAACTCAATTTGAAACAAGCTATGTTGGTTAAACGATTCTATGGAGCCTTTAAAACAGAACAATTTAGTTTATCTAATACCCTGCCTGCGATGATTGTCAGGTCAAATACATAGGTCAAAGTAGTAGAACAGATGCGGTCAGACTAGTCGAGCATAAAAACCCAGCAGAATCTAGATTAGTTGACCCGAATAAGATAAGAAATGTAGAGAATAGTTCAGCTATGCCACTCACTACATGCAACTACACACAACCATAGAATAGGATGGATGGGATAAGATGACAGTTTTAAAATCTAATGTAACAGCGGAGTGGAGGGAGAGATTGATAATGGAAGCTTTGTTTATCGAATCAACTGCAAATACATGTAATAGGAATGATTCAACACCTGCACAGTTGGACATCTGGAAAATTCTACTACCCCTACGATGACAAGTAGGAGAGGACAAAGAAAACTATACAATTCAAGTTTCGAAGTCGTGTGAGTCCCAACCTAGGACGAAACAGCTGTCCAGTACTCCCAGGTGGTTTTCCAGTGGTTCTCTAACTGATGTCAGCTCATGATGAAATCCTTCATGCAATAGACTAATATAATAATCAAAAGACTAGGAAAGCTAATAAGCTACTTCACAGTAGTTTGAAAAACTTCTCAACAGGAAGTAGTATGCACAATTAATTGTAATGTGTATGTGTAAGGTAAACATTGGAGGCAATGAACTGGTCAAATTCAAGAATCTAGAGTCTTTTAGTCTAATGTTGTTGTTGTTGCTTATAATTAATTCTCTGCTTGCCTTCATTATATACATATATAAATAATAAATATTCCTTTAAAGAGGGGAGAAATTCAACTCTACGCCTACTCTCTCCCTCTATCTCTCATCAATCAATTGTAATCTAGAAAGATCTTTCCAAAAACATACATTTGTTGTTGTTGTTGGTGGTGGTGGTGGTGTGTTTCTGTCTGTATTTATTATGCTGCCTGTTTTGATTCATTAGTAAAGCAATTAGTAAACAAAACAACAACAACAACAAAAGTCATATTTGTATTTATATTTACAATTTTTTTATTTGTCCAGTTAGAGACTAAAACAAAAAAACAACTCTGGAAATTTGGCAAATAACTGGCCATAATCTTCATTAGTCGATATTTATTGTTAGCATGTATGTATATATATATTCGCATGTATGCGTATGTCCATTTCTGCTCATAGTTATGCTCATGTGTGTGTGTCATAGGGAGAGAAAGAAAGACAGAAGAAGGTTAGAAGAATTACTGAGGAAATTTCCATTCTTCATAGCTTAATCCACATTTTCATTGGAAAAGTGAAATGTAATTTAAGTTCTTTCTTATTATGTTACTATTATTATTGTTATTATTCAGTGAATTATGATGCTTACCAATGTAGGCTACTACTATTCTCTTTTTATTCCTTTACGTTCCCAGTGGAACATAAGGCTTCAAGCTCAAGCTTTAAAGTTTTCGTAGCAGTGCTGTTTTATTATTTTTACGGGATGGGGTTGCTAGCCAGCCTCATGTCCAACCTTCCCTCTTTACCAGTCTTATTACTCGTTTAGCGAGGTAAAGGAGTGCGTCAGCCGGGAGTCGAACCCCGGACCACATGCGTGGTTGGTGAGCATTCTCCCGTTGTGCCACCGACGCGCAGGCTGCTACTATAAACATGGTTAATTAATTCTCGTTTAACTTACAGTTACGATGAAGTATTTCCTTTATTTTCAAGTATTGGTTTTGTAGGAATGCTGTTTGATTGGTTGGAGGATTTCATCATGAGCTGACATCAGTTAGAGAACCATTGGAAAACCTGGTCTACGAGCTCACCTTGTAACCAGAAGGTCCTGCGTTCGAACTGATGAAGAGTCCCAAACTTGGACGAAACAGCTGTCCAGTACTCCCAGGCTTTCCAATATTTCCTTTATTGTTTGCTATATTCTAGGTTTTTTAAAATTATACAATATTTTTCCAGAGTGTTTCTCTGTGTTTTCTTGAGATTTTATTTTATTCCTTTGCGTTTCGAGTGAGACATGCAACTCCAAGATTTGAGCCTTGAAGTTTCAGTAGCAGTGGTGTTATTCCTTTTGTGTGTGTGTGTGTGGGGTTATTAGCCTCATGCATACCCTTCCTACTTTACTGAGTGTACTACCGGCTAAAGAGGATTTAAGATTGAGCTGGACCGGAATCGAATCCTGGATCAAGTGCGTGGTTGGCGAATGTTTTTCTCTGTTTGATTGAATATTTTTAGATTTTATGGCTTCTTATTCTTAGGGACTCATTTCATTTATCCCTACGTTTTGGCTTTAGTTCCAAGAGTATCTTAAACACAATCAAACAGATGCAAATTTCTACGTTCTTTATTATTTTTAATTGGTGGAGTTTTATGTAATTGTTAAACGTTATCTTATGTTCAGGATTTGAAATCGAGAATCTGGTCATTCAAAAATTTGACTAAAATTAACTGAGTTGTTTTGTGACGTACAGTAATATCGAAGCTTATTGTGGCATTGCCATATTCACGTAACGACATAATACTTGAATATTTGAATTGGTAAAACTTTTATGAGGTGTCTATTTAGTAGGCTTCAAAGTTCTTGTTACTCTTTGGAAGAAAATGCTGCTTCATAGTAGTATCTAGGCTTCAGGCTTCAAAGTTAAACACATAAAATTGCATTTTTATGATCTTGTGCTGTTCTGTGTAGGCTATCGCATCAGAAACTCTTCGATTTTATGTATGCAAGTGGCGCTCACTCAAAAAGCGGGTATTTATTATTATTATTATTGTATCCGCTAATTCTTAGAGGAACGTAGGGCTTCAGCCGTGCGTCTCCATTGAGTTCGGTTCTCTGCTACAGCCTTCACCTGGCTCCAAGTTTGCCCACACGTTTTCATCTCCTCTTCACATGACCTCCTCCAGGTCACCCTTGCACTGACGACCAACTCGCCGCTTCCCTTCTGGCTTCCACTCGAGCAATGGCTTGTCTAGTGATGTCACTTGATGGTTTCCTCAGAGTATGGCCAGCCAATCCATCTCCATTTCTTCCTGCCTATTTGTTTCACAATCAGTTCCTGGTTGGTTCGCTCCCAGAGATCCCTGCCTGTTGCTGGTCTTTTCTGGCCGGCCATCTGATCTTGAGTATTGAGTGAAGACAACTGTTAATGAAGCTCTGTAGTTTGCTTGAGATGCTCTTTATGAGGCGCGGTGCAAGTCTCTGATCCGAATAGTGAGTAGCACTGACTTGACATTGGAGTTGAAAATCCGGATCTTATTTTTGATGCTGAGAGTTGTTGACCTCCACACAGACTTGAGAGTAGTGAAAGCTTGTCTTGTTTTTCCAAATCTTGCTTCGATATCCTCGTCAGTTCCGCCTGTAGTTGAGACGACGCTTCCCAGGTAGGTAAAAGTGGATATTTAGGCTATGTCATATCATTGCTCAATTAACCAAACCATTGGGAAGTATTCACCTGGATGAACAACATAAAAAATGTGAATAATGCAAAGGTTAATGATCTGTTGTATGAACTGTAATCACACTACACATAAAATATAGATAAGTTATACAGATTTTCGTGGTCAACATTAACATTAGATTCTTTAATAATAACATCTTTATTCTGGACCGTTTTTATAAAATATACAGAATTTTCATAGAAGTTTATTGCATGATATTTTCCCTTCGTACACAATATCTTCAAGTCAAATAGTAGATGACTGAATATCCTGTGGCATCGGTAGCACAGCGGTTACGAAGCTCGCCGACCATGCACATGGTCTTGGGTTCGATCGCCGGCCGACGCGCTCCTTTATCTCGCTAGGCCAGAAGTAAAGCTGCTAACGAGGAAAGGTTAGACATAAGGCTAGCAACCCCATCCTGTAAAAATAATCACCACTGCTACAGAAACTACAGGCCTCTAACTTGAAGCCTTATGTTCTAGGGGGAACGTGAAGGAATAAAAAAATAATAAAAATATCCTGTGACACAATGGTCTCTGAGCTGAACCGCAAACCATTCCATTATGATACATATATGCTTTGTCTCCTTCAAGAAATCCACGATATCCAGTTTAAAGCCAATCGTAAGATGTTCAGAAGTACATTTTGAGACCCTAGGACATAACTGAATAACAGGTATCTCATGTATTGGAACACGTTGACACCAACAATTAGGCTATTCCTCGAGTTTAGCAGGAACTTGTGAATCAGTCAGGAACTTGTAAACTTTTTAAATACACACAAGGGTAGATAATACCATTAGAGGTCACATCTTAATCGATAGAAAGTATATGCAATAGAGAGATGGAAGTTTTGGTAGCCCAAGGTTTAAGCAGGCAGCCTTTTATGAGATTAGACTACAGTTTAAGTAATAATATATCATGTCATAAGTCCTGAAATGTATTTTTCTTTAGGGAATCTATAGACAAATACAACTCATTCGTTAGAGAACCACTGGAAAACCTAGGGGTACTGGACAGCTGTTTCGTCCTAGTTTGGGACTCTTTAGCGTATTGATGAAGAGTCTCAAACTAGGACGAAAAAGCTGTCCAATACTCCCTGAAGGTTTTCCAATGGTTCTCTAACCAATGTCAGCTCATGGTGAAGTCCTGTAACTAATCAAATCCCTACAAACCAACACTTGAACAAGTCATTCGGTTATTTTCCCCAATGAAATTGATGTAACTACAAATTCGCAGTCATATCGCACCTAAAAATGTATACCCTATAAACTTGACTCTATTAAATTCCATTAGTCCTTAGAACTGTAAGGTTAAGGTATGGATAATTTGAATAATTTATCTAAACATTTTTCCAAATATCTGATTGATTACTATTCAGTTTTTCTGTTCATCTTTTAATTTACAGGATGGTCCTGGTATGTGGATGAATTTAGATGCTGAAGTGATCACTGAGAATGGTCAAGTAGTCGGGACAAAAACGCCTACAAAACACTCATGTTTAGCAACTGTTCGATTTGAGATACCCGACGGTAAGTATTCATTCTACTGGTCATTTTCACTTTTTGTTGTAGTTTTATTGCATTTCTGTCCTCTATCTTTATATAGCCTGTTTTTTAAAGTATGGAAATTTGAACTGATACAGTCATGCATAAAATTCTACGTAAATTTTTCGCTGAATTAATCTGTAGTGAAAATATTTCGGTATATATATGTGGATAAAGATTATATTATCCACCTTATGAGAAAAAGGAAAGAAAGCGAATACCAGTTTTGCTCACTTCTTATCATCCATTCCGCGTTACTTTATTAAACGAAATTGTCGAAAAATTTCTTCTGCTTGAGTGATCCTCTATTAATAATTTGACAGTATAAAACAGGTATAAATGTGTATACCAGTGAGGAATAGTTTCTGCATGAGAAAGTGTATTTAACATCTCTTTTATTTCAAACTTCACTTCATTTAAGCACAAGGTTATTCAGCTGAGGTAGTTTTATCTCTTGTTTAAAGACATTTGATTTTTCTTGGATGCATGCATCTACAGTGCCAACTGTGTATGATTATTATTATTATTCCCTTGGGTTCCTAATGGAACATAGGGCTTCAACTGCACGCCTCCACTTGCTTCTGTCTTCTGCTGTACTTTTTACTTGCATCCATGTTAATCCATACTGTTTCAACTCCTCTTCACACGATCTCCTCCATGTCACCCTTCGACGTCCCACTCGCCGCTTCCCTTTCGAGTTCCACACGAGCTATGGCCTGACGCGCGATGTCACCCAGCGGCCTCCTCAGCCAGTGTCCAATCCATCTCCACTTTCTCCTGCATATTTGTTGAGCGATTAGTTCTTTTTTTGTTTGTTCCCATAGTTTCTTGTTGGTGATTCTTTCCCGCCATCTGATCTTCAGTGGTTTGGTAATATCATCAAGCATTAGCAGTCTCAACTTGCTGTTTTCCCTCGGGTTTCATTTGAGGGCTTGGTAGGCGATGTCACTCAACGGTCTCGCCAGCGTGTTTCCAATCCATACTCATTTTCTACGGCATCTTTTTTTGGGAATCGATCCTGGATAGCTTGTATCCAGAGTTCTTCGTTGCTAATCACTTCTGGCCACCTGATCTTTAGTGTGGAGCGAAGGGAGCTTTTGATAAAAGTGAAAATATTTAGAATTCAGAGTAACAAATTATTGCTTTGCATTCAAAAGAAAAAGAATTAGGCAGGTTCATTGTCGTATTTCCGAACATCAACATGGTTAAGCAAGAGAAAAACAAGATCTATTCGTAGTTCTATTATAGCACACCTTGTTGATACTGAGCATAAGGTTGATGTGAATACTGCATTTAAAATTATTTATCGCATTCCGAATAATCTTAATTTTGCTCTACGAGTTAGTCTTCTACAGACAACTGAAGCAATCGGAATCCACCTTAAGAGGCCAAGCCTATGTGTTGAGAAGAAATTTTTACAGCCACTTTCCTTACCGTGGCCATCTCTAGAAGAATGCATAAACAGGACTACGTCGCCCCCCTCTCCCTAAACCTTTGAAAACTATAAAAATTATAATTGTCCAAATTATTTTATTTTAATATATTTTGAGCACTTCATCTTTAATTACGTGTTATCCTTGTAAAATTAATTTATTCTAACTATCTCTACCTTTTAAATGTTTATTGATTTTCTTCGTTAATTATCACTCCATTGACATTTTGACACTCTTTCATTATTGTTAACAAACATATCACCACTTGTTTGGTAAACTGTTGTGTATTGTAATAAAAATGCTATAGGTGTATATTAGAGTAGAGCAAGAGATGAGGATCTAATTGAAAAGTAAATATTTCTTCGCTCAGTCTTTCTGTTTTCCAAAAAAATGTGTACAGTTACTTCCTTCAGAATATCCCTTAATTATTATTTTTCTCCACTGTCTGCTTTTCCTAGCGAATCAGTTTTTTAAAAGATTATTTAATGTCGAAATATGTGCACAAAAAGGTCTGTATCATTCTGACAAAAGTAAAAACTAAGTTCGTCCACAAAAAATACGACATTTATCTACTAGGCTGTGAATTATCCTTTGCCGTCACGTCGTAGAGGGTGTGATATGGGTTTGCAGTCAGGAACCACTTTTTGACAGTCAAGTGATCAGTTCACTGAATCGATTAATATAGGTCATTTAGATTAGTATTTTGCTTGTAATACAAAATTCAGAATATTATGTCCAGCAGTTGCGTCTATTACAACAACTTAAGAGTTCCACAGAGTTGTTTGCGCTATTCAGAAATATTCATGCTTTGCTTTGCTTTCATTCATTATTTTTCTTTGATGGTGAAATTACTTAATTTTATATTGTACTCATTCCACTTGTAATTCGTCAACATTGCTTGAGAAGTTGCATCAGTGCTGTTGTGAGAATTTCTAACAAAATCTCGAAGCGGAAATAAAAGGCTCATCTGGGATTTTACAACCTACGTTGTCTTTTTTGTAGACATGACATCTGGCTACCGATTAAGGGACATGTGTACTGCACAGCAGTTCGTTCTGTCTCCCTTTATAAATGTCAAAGATTGCTATTGAAACTGGAAGGTATGAGAAGACTAGCCGTCTTTGACTATGGATGTTTGCGCTCTATCTCCCTTGTTAGGTGGTATAATGGCGTGAGTAGTATTGGAGTTAGGCGTAGATTGTTAGGTGAGAAGAGTGAGTCAGTCAACGGAGTTTTGAAGGTTAAACGATAGAGATAGCTGTGATACGTGTGGTGCATGCCGAGCCATCGCCTTCCTCGATGAATAATGTTAGCTGACACGGGAGCAGGTTGGAAGAGAGCTAATGGTGGTCAAACCAAAAAATGGAATCAGCACATGAGATCTTTGACGGTTATTTTGAGCCAGTCATATAGGGAGGTGTAGACTGCCCAACTGTGGTTTTCGGGATCATAAGGACCAGTGACTTGAAACTATTAGAGATATGGCTCAAATGCGTTTTGATTGGCGCAGCTGTATTCACTCTTTGTGCTTTGCTGTATTCACTAAACGGTCATGTTTTTTCCACGTTATTACTCCTTCCCCTCTCACATTTCTATTCACTATAGTCCGTTAGGCGTCGGTGGCATAGCGGTTAGGACGCTCGCCGACCATGCACATGGTCCGGGGTTCAATCCCCGGCCGACGCACTCCTTTACCGCGCTAAGCCAGAAATAAAGCTGCTAAGGAGGAGAGGTTGGGCATGAGGCTAGCAACCCCATCCTGTAAAAATAAACATTGCTACAGAAACTTCAAGCCACTAGCTTAAAGCCCTATGTTCCATTGGGGAACGTGAAGGAAAATAAAGTAGTCCGTTAGAATATCTTTGTCCCTCCCTCTTTTGAATAAAGCAAGAACAATTTTTGCAGATTTCGGTAAATTGACCTCTGAAGACTACCGTCTTCTAGGCGTTGCATGGCAATGTGTGTCTGCAACATAGAGTGTGGCAAGTTGAACTGCTGCACTTCCGTGTGTCGAAACTCAGTCAGACGGTCATAATCTGTCAACAAAAAACTGACGTCGTAGAACCTGTGGCTAGGCTATTCAAACAGATGTCACAAAATCTGAATGGACTGTTAATCCTCTAAATTTGAGTGACTTAACAGCATGCTTTATACAACCAGCCAAACAAGTTTATATACTTTACATCTGAAAGATATTTTCACTCCTCATTAGTATGTAAGTCTCACACTGATACTTGCAGACAATGTCAGCCTATTAGGGGAAATGTTTCATCAGCAATCAATATGCATTAAATGATATCACTATAAATGGAGATATTTTCTTTTCTCTTTTAGTAATTTTAGTGATTTCGAAATTTATTTGGTTGTTGTTTGTTTTCTCAAAATTGGTGAAACGCTTCCAGGTGTTAATGGATGCTTGTTTTTTTTCCAAACTAACAGCAGGGCTAGTAGACATGATAACATAATTTCTATCATGTACTCATTTAATGGACACAACTGAAACACAAGGAATCTCTAATTATTTATTTCGGTTAAATCGTATAGTATTTCGTCTCCCTTGGTGTGTATATATATAGTTTTCTTTCATAGAAAACTTTAAACTTTTTTTTATTCCAAATGTTATAGATCCACAATTTGAGAAATTTTATGGTAAAAGAAAGCTACCCAATCTGATACCAAATGGTAGCGTACAAGATCCAAATGTTCGGATGAAGCAAGCATATCCACTTCCTAATCATTTCGATGAATTCCCTACAAAACGGTGTATAAATTCAAGGGATAAATTTTCTACACAATACTATTGTCCACTGAGTGATTGTGAAGCTAGACAACCTAATGTACCATATAATGATTATATGCAACAGTCTTCACGATATTCTCGATCAACTAATTACCTAATCCCTTATCATAACAAATTCCCATCAAATCATCCAAATTATGCAGCGGGTTGGTTTCCTGTTTAATGTTTTTTCCTAAACTGTTTTAGTTGTTGTTACTGTTTTTTGAAAAGAACTTGACAGTTCATGATTATCTGGAGGATTTCATCATGAGCTGACATCGGCTAGAGAAGCATTGGAAAACTTAGGAGTACTGGAAGGCTGTTTTGCTGTGGGAAGCCGTGACCAATAGGGTACAGCTTGTCGAAGTTGAGGACAGTTACTCATCGAAGAAGACATTGTGAAGTGGTTGCACTATGTCATGAATTGGCAGAAGTTAGGGTAAAGTTAAACTTTAAGCACCACTCAATACCAATCAATGAATGGTCTCGAGCGCACCAATCAGGTGAAGGAGGCATTTTTGTGTATGGAATATAAATATTTATGAAAAAACTGCATAAAAACCGTAGAAAAGTGTTGCAGAGGATACCTGGCTCTCACATGTGATAAAAAAAGCTCGCAATGTTTTACGTTGGACTATCAACAGGGTATAATTCCATTGTGGGTAAAATTTATTTTGATAAAGTCTCATAGAGTAATAGTAATATTTACTGAGCGATAAATTGTGCTCGAAACGTCATCAGTAAATATTACTGTATAACACTGTGAGAATTTATCAAAATGAATTTTACCCACAATAGAGTTATACTTTACTACAGAGCACAAGTACTATTCTTACATCAACAGAGTAATTTAACCACATTCTGTGCATGTAATTATTTACGTCTTCTAACCCTAGCAATAACCCTAATCTTTCCTGAACCTAACCCTAACGTAAAGATATCCCTAAACTAACTGTAATCTAACTCGAACCAACCCTAATGTTGCCTTTATTAGGTTAACCTAACCCTTACTTGTTCTTGGCATAAACTGTAACTTAATCTTTCCCGAAACTAAGCTGAAACTTGACAGATATACCATTTAGTAGCATAACACTTTGATGAGGATATTTTAATGATGAAGATAACATTATTTTCTAGGTTTCACTAACTTGCTCAGTGAGCGTTTCAAGGTCATTGGTGCGGCTGCACTCCATTGGTAGTTAGTGGTGCTTAAAGTTTAACTTCGCCGAAGTTAGAATTCACGGGCTGACGTTTGGATCGGGTCACAGTAGCTTAATGGTCTACGAGCTAGCTCGCTTTGTAACTAAAAGGTCCTGAGTTCGAACCCCGTAGTGTGGGTACGTACTGCTGAAGAGTCCAAAACGAGGATGAAACAGCTTTCTAGTGCTCCCTGATTTTCCAATGGTTCTCTAACCGATATCAGCTCATGATGAAATCCTCCATCCAATCAAACAAAATCCCTAAAAAGCAATACTTGATAGTTCATGATTAATTGTCTAAACTGACAAATTAAACTAGAGTCAGTCGACTATTTCCTACATTAGTAACCGACAAGACACAAACTTGTTTATTAAACTTTTTTATTTACTGTTTTGTGCTGTAATGTATCGTTTTACAGTCTAGTGCTGAATTTTTAGGGTGGAAAATTTCTATGCGTGGGTGGTTTGATGGTAAGGGTGTTTACCAGCCAAACACATGGTGTGTATTCGATCCCCAGCCAACGTACTTCTAAACCTCAAATAACCGATAGTTAGCTCGGAAAAGAGGGAAGTTTGGGGGTGAAGCTAGCAACCCCTACTCTGCAAAAGAAAACAGAACCACGGCTATCACTGTAACTTGATGGCTTGAAGCTCTATGTCCTTCGGAGAATGCATGGCACATACCTTAAATACCTAGAAATGTTTCTCTTCAGAAGGCAAATGTCTTCCTAAAACGTGTAAACTCATGACAGGTGATCAATTTATCAGTGGTATATTGTTTTCATTTAGTTTCTGGATACATTCACCTATCTAATGATTACAAATGCTGACATGATTACAGTGTTAAATTAGATGACTAACATATTTTTTAAATCATGGCAAATTCTCATTGTAACATATAGAAAATCAAAACAAATGATTCAGCGAAGAGACTCTTTTCAACGAATTTATCATCAAGCTGTACAATCGTATATATATAGTTTTTAAGAAGTTATTTCCGGTGAGGGAATTGAAACATATGTGTGAATGCATGAAATAATAATAATATGAAGTGCAATTAAAACTAAAATGTTTGTGATTATAATCGTAGTTGAATGTCAAGTGGCAAAGCAAATTAATGTCATATATAGAATAATTCATAGGATGGATGGAACTTGAGAAAGGGTGTGCAATTATAAGATTAGTAGACAAATCGAAAAAATAAGAACGTTACGTAATATTGTGTGAAATTTAATAGCATAGAATTTAATGTTGCATAAAGGAATTGATTTAGAATGACAAGTGGAACAAGTGAAATAATACCAGGGACAATTAAAAGTGGGAGTAGTAATAGTAACACTTGACGTAATAAGGAAGAGTATACAAATTGAATAGACAAAAATGGAAAAAATGGAGAATTGGTAGAGCTAAAATATGATTGGGGATTACCATACTTTAGCATAGAGGGATTAAGACCATGAAAGTTGGAGGGGTTGGACGAACTTTTTTCTGCACACAGAGATCTGGCTTTTCTGTTTCGATAGCCCAAGCTTCAGCAATACAGATGAGTCGGGTACTTAGGGATTTGGGTAGATTACTCTTTGCCTTGTAGATGACTTTAAAGGTGGAGGCTATAGATATAGGGTGATCATTATCGACCAGATGTTCAATGATCGCGCTTCTTATTGCTCAACTACCACATTTTTCGTAACCATGCAGGATAGTGTTCTTGCACCCTCTTGGACAAAACTCGTGTCGAACGACTGATATACCTAGCTCCACAAGAGCAGGTGAATTGATAAACACACATAGAGTTGGTCAACAGCGGGATCTTGCCAAAGGATATCAACAGTCAGTCAATCTTTTGAGGAGTGTTCCGATTCAAGTTGTTAGATTGGTGTTTCACTATTGCTTAAAAGTGAAAGCCAACCATTTGACGGAAGAGGTATCAAACACTCGACTTGAGGTGAATATAGAGAAGAAAAAGGTGATGAAGATGCCGGACGAACAATGAAAAACACCGATCACCGTGGTTGGGAGAAATATAAACGAAGTAGTCTCTTTCGCCTACTTACCCGGACAGCGTCGTTTCAACTAAAGGCGGCAACACGAATGAAGATGTCAAAACTAGTCGGGATCAGAGTACGAAGACAGGCTTTCGTTGTTCTGAAACCAGTATGAATATCCATAGCACCCAGTACAAGGAACAAAGTCTAAATTTTCAACTCAGTGCTTCTATATGCTTCAGAGACCTTATGTGTGTGTGTCGCTGAAAGCATCTCCAACAGACTGCTGAAGACTTTCATCAACATTTACCTTCACTGGTCGAACAGGATACACATAGATAAACTCTGGAAGACAGAGAACTGGCCAACAACCCATTAACCAACATATCTGGCAGAGTAATTAAAGATGGACTGGATATACACTGAGAAGACTTTCAAGTGAAATCATACGTCAGTCTGGAAGTCGAGTGGAACGGCGATGGAAAGCGACAGGTTGGATTTTGGAAGGTGAAACAGAGGAAAGCTTATGGAGGATAAACGTGTAGCCGGTTCGATAGTGATGAAAGAGGACCCAGTCGAATGGGGATGTGCTGCTGAAGCACTTATTGGTGTTGACACATACTGTGCAAAATTGGTTTGTTTCAAATTATTATTTAAATTTATATTTACTTCTAAAAGTTCCTCTCTTAAATAACATTAAAGACATAAATTTTACCAAAGTTTTTCAATCTTTTCATGCTCAGTGATTGTATCACTATACAATGCGGATGTTTTTGGCATGTTCTGATTACTAAACAAGACACTGGTGATTTTTGATATATCCTGTTTGTTTAAAAGGAAATCACTGGAATTATTCATTCCTTGTAAATATACTCTGTTGATTCGAAGTCATCCGCCAAAAATATCTGGTTGTTCGAAGTCTATGTCATATTGTAAATCATACTATCCTATGTAGTGAGGTCTTTTAAACGGCCTCTCCTTATCTTATATTTTATAGATCCATACATGAGACAGAAACAATTTACAACTGATGATTCAGATGCTCAGTCATCTGAAACTTTAAAGAGGTACCCTGATTACCCTTCCGCTAGACAGTATGGTCTACAAGAACAGCTGCCATCGTTTAACGATAGTGAATTTGATTCTGGTTCAGAGCCATTGTATTATAATAGTCGACCGTATATTCCACCTGAGAGAAGTCGGCCTTCTACACATCGTCAGTACACTGGTGATTATGAATGGGATGATGAACAGATTTGTTTCGATGTAAATCAAATCAGTGACAAGGATGATGTATACTGGCGTCAACAATACTCAGAAGATAATCAGTACACATCAGAAGCTGAATATTCGGATCAAAGTCAAAGGCAACAAATATGTCAGTATCCACATCGTTCAGGACCACCAAATGGACATCATGTTGACTGGTGAGTTCTAAATTTTATTTAGTGAAGTATGTTGACTGTAGTTGCGGTAATCATGGTAGTTGAGGTAGTATCTACAAAGCAACCTTCTGAAATGTGATTGCGAATCGTGGTCGCTTTTATTCTACCTCACTTATATATGTTCTCTTACACAGATTTATAGGGTTCCAGTATTGTGCCCACGATAAGTAATTCCACAAACATTATGCCTTTAATACTCTCCTATTTGTACTGACTGAGAACTCTGGCATTTCTATTTCGCATATTTTTTTGTCGCATATTTCATTCTAAGAGTAAGGTTATTATTATACTATTGTTATCGTTTCCTTTAATTCCTACAGGAACATAGGACTTCAGCCGCGCGTCTCCATTGCGTTCGGTTCTCTACTAGAGTCTTCACCTGGCTCCATGTCTGCCCACTCGTTTTCATCTCCTCTTCACATGACCTCCTCAAAGTCACCATTGCACTGACAACCAACTCGCCGCTTCCCTTTCAGGTTCCACTGGAGCAATGGCTTGTCTAATGATGTCACTTTATGGTTTCCTAAGAGTATGGCCAATCCATCTCCATTTCTTCCTGCCTATTTGTTTCACAATCGGTTCTTGGTTGGTTCGTTCCCAAAGATCCCTGTTGCTGATCTTTCCTGGCCATCTGATCTTGAGTATTGAGTGAAGACAACTGTTAATGAAAGTCTGTAGTTTGTTTGAGATGCTCTTTATGACGCACAGTGCAAGTCTCTGATCCGTATAGTAACACTGACTTGACATTGGAGTTGAAAATCCGGATGTTATTTTTGATGCTGAGTGCTGTTGACCTCCACACAGACTTGAGAGTAGTGAAAGCTTGTCTTGCTTTTCCGATTCTTGCTTTGATATCCTCGTCAGTTCCACCTGTAGTTGAAACGATGCTTCCCAGGTAGGTAAAGGTGGTTGTTTCTTTCAGGTTCCTTCCATTTATGCTGATTGTTGTCTGTTGTTGTTGTTGTTGCTGTTGGTGGTGTTGGCCAGGAATCTTCATCACCTCTGTTTTCTCAATGTTCACCTGAAGTCCTATCTTTGATTTGTTTCAAATTTGATCATTGATCGATATCAGTTAAAGAACCACTAAAAATCAAAGACTACTGGACAGCTGTTTCGTCCTAGTTTGAGACTCATCTCTAGTACGTTCCCACTGGGTTTCAAACCCAGGGCATTCCTGTTACAAGTCATGCCAAACGACTAACCAGTTTTATTGGCGAGCATTTGTCCTCACCCCTGACCTGCTGGACCTCCCCAGTCACGACTTCTCACTAGAACTCCGGGCAGTTTCCTCCCGTAGCCAGTCACAAGAAATCATCAGATTGATTTTCAACAGACAATTTGTTTCAAGTTTGATTGTAACCGGTAGGTCCTGGATTCGAACCCTGGTCGGTGCATACTGACAATGGATCACCGACTAGCACGAAACAGCTGTCCGGTACTCCTTGATTTTCAATGGTTCTCTAACGGATATCAAATCAATGATCATACTTGAAATATTCTATTTCAATTTTGAGTTATTGATTTAGGATCTGTCTGTTTTGCTATTTAGCCTCACAAATAGTAGTTGATTAACAATGAATTATCGATCCTCATTTGAACTTGTTGGGTGCTTATGTCTTTTAGGATAATTTTACATGTAAGCTATAGTTGCTGGGTGTTTTTGACCATTCCGTGACTAGACGGGAAGGACGGTATTAGTGTCTGGTCTTTTGGTTTATTTATGAAGTTATTCAGTGCAATGTTTCCTCACAAGATGTTTGTCAGTACCCTCTTGTTGTAAAATAATTCCACTGTGATGCATTAGGATCGTGACGTTATTTGCTTCTGTTAACCTTTGAAGTGAACGCTGATGTGTTTATGATTTGGTGGAAGCATCAATAATCACTGCAAGCTTATATTCTATTGGTAAATATTAAGCAGAATACAATACTAGGAGTAATTATTTACAAATGACAGTTATAATAAATATATAACATTGACAAAGTTGATTTATACACAAATTGGTTGTTTTATTTTATACTCAGGGTTGATGATTTATCACCATCTGAATACAGTCAACCTGAAGAAGATTTAATGCGCAATAGGTAAGTAATGTCAGGATTCTTTTTCGTTGATTTTTATTTCTTATTAAATGTATTGAATCTATGATTTTCAATAAATTAGACATAATGATTTTCTGATAATAGATGGCTGGAGGCAGTCGGTCACAGGAAGCCTTGCCTAACCTAAGTTTCATGCTAGTTGGCACTCACCAGTCAGCAAGGCGTATCTGCAACCTTGAAGGAACTCATGTCACCTCTGAGATTCGAACCCGCGTCACTCAGTGCTGCAGTCAGAGACGTTACCACTGAGCTTTTCGGGCTATTGATTGATCTACTTCCTAGAGGACTGGATGGGATACTTTGATTGGATACTAGGTACTAGTGTCCAATTCTATTATTTCAAAGAAACATTTTTTTGCCAGGTTACATTTATGCTTAACCCACATTTTGTATATTTGTAATTACTGGGTTTTAAAACAGTCTGTGAGAGGTGCAGCTGCTGAAACTGAAAATAGTCTCGTATCAACAGTTCAGTGGTCCCAGCACTGCAGAGATATCGTGTCATGGAAAATTGAGAGAATTACTTCATTATTGGGAGGAGAAGGTGTCACCGTACACGTGAATGAAACTGTCTTATTTAAGAAAAAATACAACCGTGGTCGTGAACGAGTTTGGGTGATCGGCTTATATAACACCTTTCTACAGAAAGGATTTGTCGAGAGGATAGCATATAGAAAGTCATCTACCTTAATACCTATTGTCACTCAACCTGTGAAACAGGAATCTATAATACACACCAATGAGTGGAAAGTTTATTATTGCTTGTCATCTCTTGGATATATTCACTACAGAGTCAACCATTCTAATGATTTTGTGAATCCCATTACAGGAACACAAACCAATTCTATAGAAGGCTTTTGGGGAAGGTTAAAAAGAGGATTAGGGCTATTAATGGATCTCAAAAGGATGTCATTTATAGTCATTTAGATGAATATAGTTGTGTAATTGATACTCCTATGCTAAAGTGGTAAATGTCTTTATCACATGTAAGAGAAAGGTATCCTATGTAACAGTTTTATACAGTTTTTATGCTTTTAACGTATTTAAATGTATTCCATAACCAAAAATGCCTCCTTCGCGTGATTGGTGCGTTCAAGGTCATTCGCTGATTGGTAGTTAGTGATGCTTGAAGTTTAACTTTGCCGCTTTGCTCTTTAGCGGGCTTACTACTGGTTAGTTGAGGTTTAGGAGTGCTTCGACGGTTATTCCAACTCGGGATCACATGCATGGTTGGCGGGCATTTTATCGCTGAACCATAGACGCACAATTTGTCTCTTTGACTTGAGAAGAATAGATGTTTAACAGTTACTTAAATAATCTTAGTTTTCAGTTCATTGTCCACTTTAACACTAATGTTTTTGGATAATTCCATTGGATTTCTTACTAATCATTTAGTGATATTATGTATAATTAATATCTCATCATGGAATATATATATATATGCTTACAATGTTTTCAATATTAAAAAGACATAACTGGTGTATGGTGACTAGCAGTGGAATCCAGGATGTGCATTTCATCCTATTTGGGACTCGTGGTCAGCTGGATGTACGTGTATTCCTCAGTGAGTGGTGATGTTCCCACCGAGGCTCGAACCCAGTACCCATAGTTCCAAACGCCAAAGTGTTATCCACTAGACCACTTGGGCTACAAGAGCCACCTCTTGTGCAACGGGTCATATTAATTACTTAATTGAATTTTAGGTTTCCCATCGATTGATTGGACCGGAGTGCTCGGTCTCAGGTTGACATGTCGGCTTCTTATGCAGATGCTTCGACGATGTCTGGGAATGTGATTAGAAGTAAATTGGTGGATGGTGACTAGTAGTGGAATCCAGGAGGCGCATTTCGTCCTGTTTGGGAATCGTCACTGGATGCACCACCAATTAACTTTTAATTACATGTCCAGATATCGTCGAAGCATCTGCACAAGAAGCCGACATGTCAACCTGAGATCGAGCACTTCGGTTCAATCAATCGACGGGAAAATCTAGAATTGAATTAAATAATTAAAAAGATATAGTTGACATTTTAAGTGACAGTTATAATAATAATTATTATTGTTCCCTTGGGTTCCTAGTGGAAAACAGGGCTTCAACTACACGTCTCCACTTGCTTCTGTCTTCTACTGTACTTTTCACCTGCGTCCATGTTAATCCATAATGTTTCAACTCCTCTTCACACGATCTCCTCCATGTCACCCTTGGACGTCCCACTCGCCGCTTCCCTTTCAGGTTCCACTCGAGCTATGGCCTGACGCGCGATGTCACCCAACGGTCTCCTCAGCTGAGCGAGTGTCCAGTCAATCTCCACTTTCTCCTGCATATTTGTTGGGCGATTGGTCCTTGTTTTGTTTGTTTCCATAGTTTCTTGTTGATGATTCTTTTCGGCTATCTGATCTTCAGTATAGAGCCAGCGAAGACAGTTGTTGATAAAGGTCTGCAACAGGCTGTTGGAAATATATTCTTTGTGGCCTGTCAACTTTCTGATCGGTATATAAGAACTGACTTGACGTTTGTATTGAAAATCTGAATTTTGTTGTTGATGGTGAGTTGAGTGACGAAGACTTCCAGATTGGTTTGAGGTTGATGAATGTGTTTCTCGCCTTCTCGATTTGACATCCTCGTCCGTTCCTCCTGTAGTTGAGCCACTGCTCCCTAGATAAGTGAATGAAGTAACCTCTTTCAAATCCCTCCTGTTGATGGTGATTGGAGCCGGATGTTGCTGCTGTTGTTGTTTGGTTCTAATTACTTCTGTATAATCTTCTGATAAAAGGAACAACGTGCTAACACTAAAGATAATTATTTAGCCCTTTCTTAATATGCAGCTATGAGATAAGTTGCTTAGTAGGCATATGTAGCTGCTGATGACTGTTCAATAAATACGTCTTGAACTATTAACTCTGCTAGCAGACAGATTCCAGTAATTAAGCTTCTTAGGGGTACTCATGCAGTCTTATTATATAAAAGTGATAAGCAGATTAAGTTATACTTCGATGGGGAAACTAGTTAGAAGCTGTAAGTACCTACAATTCAAACCTCTGACTTTAGAACTGCAAGTTCTCGTTTTTACCTTATGAATAACACTCACCTAAGAAGTAATGTAAACAAATGTTTACCCTTACTACGCATGTTATAAAACATTCAGTATATCTGTTGAAAGTTGAGTTTTCTATTAAATTTACACTAGTTACACTAGTGCATCGGTGGCACAGTGGTTAGGATTCTCGCCGACCATGAACATGGTCCGGGGTTCGATCCCTTGCCGACGCACACCTGATATCAATGGTTGGCCTGCAAATTTGAGCTACCGATATCACATGCTGAAAATTCCATACTGGTACCAAAAATACGGTGTGGAATCAAGCTATAATCATATATATGTATAAAGTGGATATTTTGTATTGAAAAAAACTGAAATTACTTGCCTTTGTTGACCAACCATAACAATGTATTCAACAGAGTTAAGCTTGCCTATTGATATGCTTCGAACATAACAAAATAAGATATTGAATTGATTGAATTAACCCACTTCGGCAACTTGCCATTCATCTGTTACAAGCCTTATTATTTTTCTATTGATATATATGACTTATTTCATTGGATGTTTGACTCCATTCACTTGTGACATAAACACATTTATTTCGAATGGAAACAATTTTCCCGCTACCTGAAAATTTGATTACTCAACTTAAATTCAAACATAAAGCTTCAAAAGAGATTTGTATTACTGTATAAGTGAATAAAAGAAAAAAAACAAAATTATTTTATTCATTTATTGATTTCTTTATTTATTTAATTATATATTTATCAAAGTAAAATCGCAATCGAGTTCATTAAATGAAATAATTTATACATATTAAATTGACCAGTATTCTTCGCAATAAATACTTTTTTGTGGCTTTCTTGATATGTTTAGAATGAACAATAAATATGTGAGAATTATTAGATATGACAAATCTCTTAGTTGTTCAAAGATTCCAATAGTAATAATAATAATAGCTTTATTCTTAGAAATGAGTTCATACATAGTGCGTCGGTGGCACAGCGGTAGAATCCTCACCAATCACGCAGGTAGTCCCGGGTTCGACCCCCGGCCACCGACACACTCCTTTACTTCGCTAAGCCAGTAATAAGACTAATAAATAGGGGATGTTGGGCATGAGGCTGGCTAGCAACCCCATCCCATAAAAACAAATAAACACCACTGCTACAGAAACTTCAAATCTCTAGCTTGAAGCCCAAATATTCCACTGGGAACGTAAAGGAATAAAAAATATATATACTAGAGAAGTCTCTGCATGCTATCTATGTCGCAAATCATCTACTCCTTGTGCAGAAGCTTTCAGTATTTAAATTCATCAGTAAAATATCACTCGGAACATTATTGCTCTATCCAAACCACATTGTAATAATCTGCAACGGATTTCTCGAATTTCCTTTAAAAAATCCATATTATTAGGTTGAAAACTATTTGAAAATATATGTAAGTAAACATTGCTTATTTCAATGGAAGCAGTTGGATGATTAAAACAACATAAAATGAAGAAAATAAGATGCATTTCGGTAGATTGAAAAATTATTAGTCTAGTGGTTTAAGTAGACCACTAGGGTATCCAATAGCGTGTGGTGTAAATATATGAATTATAAATTTAGGCCATATACACATACATGAACGATGTTCTCATCACATATATGTATTGATAATGTCTGCTTAAAAAGTAGCTTGATTTCATATAAGATTTGGTTTTACTCATTATTTCAATCAAAACTAGCTTGGAAGAATTTTACTATCAAGGTGCTCTTAGCTGGAATTTCTGCAATCGACGTTATATGCGTCATACTGTGCATTTTTAAGGCTTGACTAAACTGGATGTAGCGACCGACACCGGGAGGTGTTCTGGTTTGAACGCAGGAAACCAATCTATGCGTTCTACTGTATAGCTAATCAGAACTTCTTTGAGTTACATACAGTACAAAAATG